GGGGGGGGGGGGGGGGGGGTACTTTTGGTGGTTGTGCCTGGGGCCTGAGGATCCGTGATTCACGGTTGCAGGGTCGGGGCTGAGGTACGACGACCGAACAAAAACTTTGAGTCGATGCAGTTGCGATGCATTCTGAGCTTTCATGGCTTTCTTCTTCTCCTGGCAGGCTCGCTCTTCGTTTCAATTACCCGACTTGTGCAGAGTTGGGAATGGGCTTAAGATCTACATGTGGGGTTGCCAAACTGGAACAACGCTTCCTCTGCTTCTGTATGGCCGGCTTTAGCCCACTATGATGAAGGTTAGTGTAACGGTTGCTTTAGGGTTCAAGAGAGGCTGCTATAAGGGCTCTGCCAAGGTTACTATGAGGGATCTACAGAGGTTACTACAAGGGCTCTAACAGGGTTACTAAACGGCCCAAGGACTGTTTGCAATGCTGCCATGCGGTGCTCAATTTATGAAGCTCGTGCATTTACGCATCGTGTCAGGTTGAATACAGGTTTACCCTAAACCCCAAACCCTGAACCCTAAACCAGGTTTAGGTTGCGGGTTTTCTTCCCGGTGTACAGAGGCCTGGAATCCTAAACCGCCTGGGCTTTATAAGGCTTTGGTTATTTTCCGTGACCCACTTACACTTTTGCGAGTTTCTACTTATTCCATACTGGAGTTGATGGGAAGAGGCTGACGTAGTGTGACGACAAGACTCCGGAGAGTGAATAAACATCTCCATGAGACCCTAAACCCTAAAAGGGAAATTCTAAAGTTTCCCATCAATCTTATGGTGGCCTGCAATTCGCCTGCTGACTCCACGTCTCAAGGAACTCGTTTCTCACATCTCGCAATTGCGGGCTTTAGGCTTAAGTTTAGTGAGTAGGATTTCATTCAAGACTAGGTAGCATGCCTTGCTAGTAAGTCAACACAAGACATGTTACAACCACTACCAACTGGCCCCCACAAGGGTTTCGCAGTGGACAGGAGTCCTTTGAACATTTACTGCCTAGGCACCGAACCCCAACAGGTAAAAATCCTGACTGCTCGTAGGTGTCAACATGCTGCCTGCACATGGCTTTAGAGTTGAAAAGGCTTAGGGTTTAGGGTATAGTATAAATAAGGGATCATTTGCTTCCAAGGCCTTGAACCGTATAAGTGTATGGTTCAGGCCGTCAGGCCGGTAACCTAAACGTTCAACCCAGACTCACCTCCACGTGTGATACGAGACCTCTTGCACTACGTGCGACCCGCCGGATTCTACTCGGCTTTCGGAGAGAGACATGCCGAAACGAAGAGAGTCACTATAGTGCTGCATGGTTTTCGGTTCAGGGCTTCAGGGCTTAAGCTTTCGACTAATTTCATCTACCTTTTCTGCGCAGGCGGTCAAAAAGGCGGACGAACTCTGAAGCAATTCGCACCTACTCACGGCTGACTCTGGGTGTCCTTGCCCTGCATCCTTTGTTGGCCAATGTCTCGTGTTCCCACGTTCACACCTATCCGTCGCCTTCTCGTCCAATCGTACCAGATCTTGTCACTTTGCAGTTGATCAAGCGCAGGTTTTGACACAGTGATAGGACAATCGCTGGTTAAGATGTTGCCGGCAGTGAGCCACTTATGCTTGGTACGGTTCGCATCCACTCGCAGCTTCTCTCCCATCTGCCGCATTTCCATCCGGTGGCCTCGTCCCGCAGCTAACCACTTTGAGGTAGGATGGCCCCAAAAGAACCGTCTAGAAATGCAAGCAGCGCAGAGGTGACGACAGAGGCTATGCGAGGCCTCATGGACTCGAGGTCATTAAGGAATGCCATCTCGCCACCAATAGATCCGCATAGTCTTTGCCAGAGATCCCGGGGTACTTACCCAAGGAGAACCCGTCGTTGACCTCCTGGCAAGAGCATGGAGCGTAGCATTGGGGGTTTTCAGAATTACAATTCGATGCCGGGAAGTGTTTGCAAGGTCTGTAAGGGGCTACTGCTACTACTACTACTACTACTACTACTACAACTACAACTACAACTACAACTACAAATACAAATACAAATACTACCACTACCACTACCACGACCAGTGCTACTATGCAGATGCAGAGTCCCCCCGGACCTTCATTAATTTCATAATAGGATCCTTAATCTGCTTCCTGAATTAAAGCTTGAGGGATATTGGAAGGTCTGGGCCACAAAATCTTCATCCCGAAGAATGCTCGATGACATCATCACTGCATTGGAGGGTTGTGCTAAGTACAGTTGCGCCCCGGGAAGGGGGACCCCTTTGACAAAATGGGTACCTTTACAAATCCACACCCCGCGGCTGCGGACAGGCATCCACCAAGCAGGTACCCGCTTCAAGCACGGCAAAGTCCATGCCAAAGCCGACAAGAGTCTGCCCTTCTTCGCCTCAGCTGAGTGCCGTATTCAGAACCCTAAACCCAAAACCCTAAAACCCTAAAACCCTAAACCCTAAAACCCTAAACCCTCAACCGTTGTGGCCCAGGGCTGTCTACTCTAAATGCCAAAGCGGGAGGGCTTATGGCCCCTACTAATACCCCCCGAAACGCTAAACCTTGAAAGTTCTAGGGTTTAGGTTGTTTAGGATTTTACTTGGGGCCTGTAGATGTCCAGAACAGCCTTCTGGGTAATTGCATGAGTTGCAGAACACTAGCCAGGACACTGGGGTTATCTGGGGTCCTGATAGTATGGATCCATCTGTGGTTCTACACTGGGATGCCTCAATCTCTGATAGTCCTATATTGTCCACAGTTGAACATGCAACATCAACTGGAAACAAATTGTGCATTCTGGAGGATCCTATATGTGATATTTGTAAGGAAGCGACAGGTGCACACCTCAGCCTGCGAATGATGTCAAACATATGTTCTAAACGTTGAGGCTACAGCAGTCCTTGGAAGACACAGTAAAGGCTGCTATGTTTGCATCCAAGTGGCTCTGGCACAGCGTCTGCACAGCTTCTTCCACTACCTGATGGCAAACTCGTTCAGAGGTGCAGGGTGTGCGGGTAAACCCTCGGCCGTCAAAACCCGTAAAACTGAGCAGGCAAACCTCAGTTAGACAGACGCTGGGCCCTGAACCTAAGGTGCTGCCCAAAAGTCTGACAGTTCGTCGTGGAGGTTGTTGGTTTTGGAGATTCAAACCTCCTCATTGCTGAAGACAATCACTTTCGAAAGGTACTTGCTTCTGCCCAAGTACCTTGAAGCCTAAACCCTAAGATTCAGGGGCTGTGAGTCAATGAGGCTTCAGGGCTTAACATGAGGCAGCTTCGAGATTGGGGCTTTGTCCGCCAGTTTCTCGGAGGTGGCGTGAGCTTTGGGGCGTTCACAGCCACAACGAAAACGACAAGGGTAGTTCTCTAAATTAGGGTCCCTTTTTGGGTCCCCAATGTAGTACGGCACCCTTATGAAAAAGAACCCGACAAGGGACCCCGATTTAGAGAATTACCCACAAGGACAGCAAGAAGAGCTGAAACAACAGCCACAACTACAACTCTCCACCAGCAGCGCGGAACCCCAGCAGGATGAAGACAAGGAAGCGGCTACTACGGCCACGGCGAGGAGGCCCTGGACCCTAAACCCTAAAACCCTGAAGCCCTGAAACCCTAAACCCCTTGGCTGCATGTCTTGAGCTCGCGCGACGAGAGTCCTACTGGTAGCTTGGGTGGCTAGTCGAGGCCCAGGTCTTTGAAGTTCGCGTCGTGTGGACTTATGGTTTGGGGCTCAGGCTCTAAACAACAACATCCCCTTATATATATATACATATGTATACA